CTTCTCCCTCAAAATGGCCCGATGAGATAAATTCTCCTAAGAGCTTCGAAAACAGAGTGTTGAGTTTGGTTGCATTTTTGTTTTATGTTTGTTAGTTGTCTTGATAACCGTGTCACAGTACAATCCTGAAGAAACCAAAGTCATGGGGCTTTTTAAAACAGCTCGGGTGGGTGCTGGGGCAGGAGAGTGAGGGGTGGCTTCTGAGCTGGGTCCCCAGCTCCCTTGCTGCTCCCTGGGCCGTGCCAAAGAGCTGCTCCCTCTCCAAGTTACAGGCAGTGACTTCAGCCGGAGCCTGCAGAAGTGGCTGGACTAGTTGAGCCCCGAGACAAAGATATGGGTTGGTCATGGGACGCCTGGGTGGCTCAGTTGGTTAAGCATCCAACTCTTGATTTCTTGAGATCAAGCCCCATATCGGGCTCTATGCTAAGTACAGAGTCTACTTGAGATTCTCTTTCTCCCTCTGCCCCTTCCCCCACTCGTGCACACACTCTCTCTCTCTCTCTCTCTAAAATAAGTAAAATCTTAAGATGTGGACTGGTCATTCCCATCACTGAAGTCATGGTCCCCTTGTCCTTCCCTTCTAAAGTCTCCCCCTACCCCAAAACTTTTAGAAGCAGCCTCAAAGTTGGGCCGGCATTCGCCTCCTTTCCAAGATGATTCTGAGCTGAGGGAGTCCCTAGCTTACGTCTGTAAAGACCGAAGGTACTGAGCACAGCCTGGTGAATGGGTGTAACCAGCTTATGACCAATGGAGCGGTTCTGGAGGAACATGGAGCTAAGCGGAACCACAGGAAATGTCTCTCCTCAGTTAAGCCTCCTCTAATTTAAAACTGACCTCTGATTTCACATAGGCTCAAACAGCCTTCCTGATCCACTCATCATGATGGTTTAGGAAAACTAGAATAGGCAAAAGGGTCAAACAAGTCCCAAGCAGTTCTTAGATGTCCTAGACTTCCAGCTTCCTAGACCCTGTCTAGAGGCAGCAGGCTCTACGTGCCCTCTAAATAATTACACCTTTGTAAGGGGGACCTGTGGGAGATGAGCAGAACGGTCTAATCTCTAGGGATATAACTGTCTCTGGTGATCCCAGTTCAAAGCTGCTAAAATCCAAGCTTCACAACTGGAAACATGAACCCTGGCTGGGAACTGGATATGAAGAAATTATTGCTAACACGTTAAGTGGGATCATGACATTGTGGTTCTCTTTTTTAGGAAGACTTTATTTTTTTAAAGACATGGATGGAAATGACATGACATCTGGGGTTTGCTTTAAAATCACAGGGAGGGGAGGGTGGGGCTGGGAGCAGAGAGGAAGCAAGACGCGGTCGTGCGTTGATCTGTGGACACTCATGGTAACGGGCCGTGGACACAGAGCATTTGTTACGCAATCATTGCTACTCGTGTATGCATTTTAAACGATCGATGAAAAAACTTTAAAAACCTTAAAAAAAAAAAAAAAGCTGCATTTTTGCGTGCCTCCAGATATATAATTAAGACAATCTCCGATGCCACTGGAGGGACTGGACTGATGGTTCTCAGCCTAAAGGGACAGATGGAAGGGAGGGCAGATAGGAAAGGAGGGCAGGAGTCAGGAAGGAGCAGTCGTGGGGCAGGCTGATGGGAGGCCGTCCCGCGGGAGCCGTGCTCTAACAGCCCTCCCTGGCTGCTGGCCAGCCACCCAGTGTTACAACAAGAGCAGCCCCTGTAAAAATACCACCGGGGTTAGTCAGCCTCACCTGCGAGACGTCGGCACCCAGGTTCGCCTCTGTCCACACATCGGAGGTGTCGGGGCTCATCATGGTGGGCTTCACGGCGATGGTGGGCTTGGAGTAGGGCGAGCCGTTCACGCCTTCATCTTCCAGGCGGCAGTTGTCGGGCCTGGGGGGCAGGCGAGGCGGAGGGGGCAGGTGGCCGGGCGCCAGCTGGTGGTCACTCCTCAAGCAGAAGCAGTTCTTGCAGGACCCGGGCTTCCAGATGTGTTCCACAAAGTCACCGCACGCAGACATCTTCGGGCTCTCGGGGCTCAGTCGGACGGTCCGGTGCATCTTGAGCCCACGGCGCGCTGGCTCATCTTGCGCTCGGCTCTCGGGCGTGGTCTCCTGGGAGGCAGATGCGGGTCGCAGGGCGGCTTCCCGGGACAGCAGAACACTGGGCCTGTCAGAGAGCTGCCCGACCTGAGGATGACCGCACTACCAGCGAGAGGCTGAGTCTTCCAAGGGGGAGTAGTAGGTGGGGGGAGGGGGAAAGAAGGAGAAGAAAAAGGTAGAGATTAGCATTCCGTGTATTCGGAGGCCCTCACCTATTTGTCATAAGGCTCTTAGTCACTCTCCGGTGGTGCGGCCTTATCAGAAGCTGTGAAAACTAAGCACAACTCTGTGACGGGAGTACGGAGCCGAGCGGGCATTTCAGTCCCCAGGGCTGAAGGGATCTAGAGCTTGGGACAAGAACTACAACGTAGTACAGCAGATAAAAATGGTGGTTTCCAGAGGACAAGCCACAGCTTCTCACCAAGGACTGTGTGAGGGGGCAGGTAGGCCTGGGCCCTGAGCCCAGTGCTGGAAGCCACACTTCTGGCCAGGGGGACACTCGGTGGATGAGAAAGGGGAGAGGTGTGGGGCCAGCCTGCCCCTCAGGGGAACCGTGTCAGGAGGTCCAGCATCTTGAGAATCCGCCCTCCTCCCCTTACTTCATAGACGTTACTCAACCCGGTGCTCGGTGAGGTCAACAGAGCCAGGGCTGTAGGCCAAGGAGGGAAACAGAAAGAGAAATGCCTTATTACCACAGCCCTCTGGTCTAAGGGTGGCCGGGTAAAATATAACAGAAGGAAGAGATTACCACACAATTATTTTCCCCTACGACAGCCCTGGGGGTAAGGCAGTCTGCTCGCTGCAAGAGTTGTCTCTGACAGTCCAATAGGGAGCAGAGAGTTTGCCCAGAGAACCTAGTAAATTCACCTGTTGAAGATGAACTCAAAGGGTTGCAGATATGAACCAATTAGCCTGAATAACACCCCGGCAGGTCGCTGTTATCCCCATTTTAGAGATGGAGAAACAATGGCAACGACATAACTAAGACCTGTCCAGCAGACACAGGGAGTTCGGTGGCTGTTGAAGGCACGGCCAACTGTGCTGGCAGCCCCTCAACCCATCACGTCATTCATTCTACAGAGTGGCTGCCCATCACCTGTTTGCTGCTCGTCGTTCTTCTTTCCTCGCTTAAATGAACTGACCTCCTCATAAGGAAAACGTCCATGAGAAAATCATCTCTACAAACGTCAGGCGATCAGATTCTCATCAAAAAGGGAGCTTTGCCCTGGGGTTTGCTGCCCCCTCTCCTCCAGTGAGAACTTGCTTTGGGGCAGATGCCCTCTAAACTATCATCAGGGCTAACCGGGTGGAGTGAGCCAGGCGCCCACTCCAGCATCTTTGTGGAGAGTGCTCTCTTTCCAGCGTCCCACACTCACACACAGGCATGCTTATTCACAAGCACCGGAGCTAAATTTACCTCCTCTCCCTCCAAAGTTCACCGTGAAGCCACCGCATCCTGAGGCTAAATAAACACTCTGAGAAAAAGACAAGTGTTTGTCTTTCCGCAACTGTCGGTAGGGGCTTATGCATCCCTCTCTTTAAGATGATTGTGGGTTAGGTTCTTCTCCTCCCCTAAATACACCCAAGTAGCAGGTTCATGCCTCACCAAGCTCCCCAGAAGAGGTCACTAAGCTTCAACAAGCAGAGGAGGATAGCAAGGATTTTTCTTCCTCCCACAGTCTTGAGCCAGGGAGAGCTTTAGGCTCTGCTGCTAAATTTTGGGGGGAGGGGGAGTGGAAGAAGCACACTGGTATTCAGAGAGCAGGGGTCCATATCCCTGCCCCAAAGTGGGGAGTTGGTCCTTTCATAGAGAGCTGTTGGCTTCCTGACCACAGGGAAAGAGAGGCTCCCCTTTACTGCAGGCAAAGGCTCCCGAGCCCCCTTGATGGGACGGGGAAAGAAAACTCAGAAACCCGTTCTGTGTGGGCCTTTCACGTTCCTGCAGCTCCTTATAAGGCTGAGCTCTCTGTGGAGGTGGGTGTCCAACCACTTCCTCACGGCTACCACAGACACACAAAGAGGCAGTCTGGGGTAGCCACCCACCCTTCATTGCCTCCCCCAACAGGCAACCGAGAGCACAAACTTGTCACGTCTGCTTGGTTCCAGAGCGCCCCATTCTTTGTCCCCGATGGCCCACAACAGCCCTGGGACTTTGGGTCGGCTCTGGATGACTGAGGTATGGGAAGCCTCCTTCAGAACCTTCCCCAGCTTACGCACGCTCTCTGCTCCCATGCCCAGCTCTGAAATCCTCTGACGCGGGCACAGCTCTCCACACGACGGCTCAGAGAGGCAAAGGTTTTTAGGGGAAGGCTTTGAATAAGAGAACAGAATGAAGCGCTAGCCTTCCACCATCATTGACTCACTGCATCCTGTTAAAACTGGTTTCTCAGTCACAGCAAACAGAAATTTACCACCACATCAAGCCAGAAAAGATGCTTTTCCAGTTCTGTCTAGAGAGCTCTATGCCTGGAATTATCTCCTATTTGTTTTCAGTGAGAGATGGTGAAAAACTCAAGTGGCACACACAAACAGCAACAGTACTTTGCCTACCAGTGCCAACTCTCCACAGCCTGGGAATGGTACCTTCCAGCCCACATCCCTTACCTCAGAGGGGAGGCAGCCCCCAGAATTATGCAAATTCCCCCATTTCAGTGGGAGGCAGCAGTGTAAGATTAGAAAAAGGTCCCAGCATTCTTTCTGATCCAAGTCATGAAAAATAGCTTTGCCTCTGCAAACTTCTGCACTAGATTTGTGGCTACAATTTGCAAGACTGAAGTTGTCAGACACACTCCCATCCCATTTAAAAAGAATCTGAAGAATGGTGGCCAGATCCATAAAACTAAACCTTTTGGCTCAAAATGCCCCTTACACTTGCATCAAAGGTTGTTAATGCCTTACCCTGAAGGGACGGAATTCCAGAAAAGACTCATCTAATAAATAAATATATACGTATGCATTGTTATATATATATATAGAACAATTAAATTAATGCAACACTGAAAAAGAAAAGTACATATGGAAAATGTCTGGATTTCAATACTCGACTGGTAGGGGTTGCCCAGGCAGAAAGAACAAAGTGACAACCTTAACACACCTCCCCAACACCCGCCCAACACACACACACCCAGAGGGTATCATGATATTCGCCCAACTTTTTATTTTATTTTTTCCTTCTCCAATGCAATGTAATCTAATCTCAGCAGTAGGAATGTGATTTTCATGGGTTAGACCTCCTACAGCCTAAACCAGTAAGGAGGATAGCCGAATTCCACAGGATCCCCTGATAACAAAGTAGCTGCAGAATTCCCCAGGGCTTCCTGTCAAATTTCCCTCTGAAAAAGGGAAAAAGGCTGCTACCATTGTTTAGGCCAGTGATCAATAAGGTCCATGGAACCTGACTCTGCCCTGATCTCATTGCAAAACTCCTGGCCCGTAGACCTTCGGGCTTCCCTTTACAGCTCTGCAAAGCCATGCCCTCGCTGGCTGAGCACTACCTGAGAAAAATAAACACATTCAGCCGGCCCTGCCTCCATTCCCATTTACAGGACCTGAAAGTGGAGAGGTGGAGAGGTTCTATTTTCTGAGTGCGTGTGTGTGTGTGTGTGTGTGTGTGTGTGTGTGTCCGGCTGGGGACACGAGCAGCACAAGCAAAGGTTAAGAACGTGCCCACAGTACGCCTTTCAGAGGGCTCAGCCGGGGATCGGGAGAAAGGCATCATCTTGTTCCCTCTGGGGGCTCAGAGGCTGCCATCTAACTCGGGGCAACACAGGAGGCGGCTACCCTGGGGCCCCAAACCATCTCGCCCCCGGGATCCCGGTCCTCGCAGCCCCGGCGGCCTCTCCCTCTCTGCTCCTTTGACAGGACTCCTGCCGCAGAAACGAAGTCTTCCCCATTAGCAACTCGCAAAGCGCTTCAGTCTCTTGCCCCAAACAGAACAGCAAGCCCAGCAAGCCCAGCTGAACAGTCGGTTTCCCCTCCCCGAACTCGAAGGAAAGTTTCCCCCGTTTTAAAAAAGCGCGATTCTCAAAAGAATCGAAAACACCCCTCCGGCTCCCGCGTGCTCCAGGCTCAGCGCCTCCAACCTGGAGCACAACCCCGGGCGCACGCGGTCCGGACGCTCCACCCTCCGCCAGCGGCCGCCTGTCACCCCGGGGGACGCCGACAGGGGGGTCGCCCTCTCGGCGACCGCGGCGCTCCCCCGGAGCTCCCCTCCGCGGCCACGTTCGCCAAGACAAAAAGAGACTGGGTTTGGAGAAAGCGTCGCGCTGGCTCACCTCGGGGCCGCGCTCCCCCGGCCTCGCCGTCGGTCGCCGAGCCGCCAGCCGCCCCGCCGGGCGCCTCGGAGCATTGTTTGGAGAGTGAGTGCGCGCGGTGCGTGCCCGGCGGCGGGCGGGTGTCCTCTGCCGGGGCCGGGAGGCCGGGTGGCAGC